TGCTGCGTTCATGGAAATAGTACATTGTCCATTCTTTTTTAAATAAACAGAGTTGCAACACGGGCTTCTCCAAAGAGGAACTTTTAGGAAAGTTACTGCAAATCAGCTTTGAAAATAAATATGTTAAAATTGCATTAAACTTCTTTGTGAGGACACATTTCTTAAAAACTGAAAAAGGCATTAATTTGGTGTAGCATAGCTCACTTTGGTAGGGATACAAACAAAGCAGACTTAAGGTCATATTTTAATTTTAAAGCAAAATATCCTCAGACACATCTAAAACCATTTAACAAACGCTTATCTTTTCTTGATTTGGATTAACTATAAGTAATGTGTGCAGACAAGCACCATCTTACCTTATCCATCATTAATTTTCCTTTATAGCTAGAAAATCTGCAAGATCTCAAATTCTGAGTAACCGCTCAAGCAAAAAAAAAAAAAAAAAAAGAAAAAGAAAAAAGAAAAAAGCCATCTGCCAAGAAACACATTCTGGAACTGCAGTTCACATGTAGGAGTAATAAATTAATGAAAGGAAAGCTCACTTGCTTGTACAGCCTAAGAGTCTGCATTTATTATATTGTAACAATATTCAATAAGAAATCTTAAACAAGATTTAAGCTACAAGGACAAACCATTTTCTCACAAAGTTCCCAAACTTTGTAATTGATAACAAAAAATCCTTTTGTGAACTCGCACTAGAACCAGGATTCCCATTTAGAAATAAAATAAATCCACACAGGAACTTTCACAGCTGTCTAGGACACAGTATGTGTCTCAAGAAATAGTACTATCCTTTAATAAACAGTTGGCCTAATGTGGCCATGGTATATATGTGAACTAGAACTGTTATTTCTGTATTTTCAAAAATTTAAAAAAATTCTTACTAGAAGCGGTTGAAACGTCTCAAAAGAAAAACATGTACACAAATTGGCTTTTAACAGATGATATTTTTGTAATTTATTTTCTATTTAAATTTTAAAACAGGACCAGAAATTGCATCCTCCTTCTTAGTCTTTCCTCCTTTTCCATTCTTTTCAGGACTAAAATAGGAGAAAGGAAAAAGAAAGAGAGAAAAGTGGAAGCCCTTAATAAACCAGTGGTGCTATACTGGATAACACTCGTGGTCTACAATGTCAAATACCCTTCTTCTGACAGAGAACTACCCGGACACTGATTAGACTAACACAGTTTACAACAACTACCACTACTTTGTACAAATAAGAAATTGACATACCTGGAAAAACATTGTCAAGATACCAAGAAAGTATTCCATAGAGAAAAGCATCAAAAAGCATCATTTTAATAGAAAAAAGAAAACTATATTCATCTCCTTCCAAGGGACTGGTTCTGATGTTATCCCACTGTAGGCCAAGACCTTGCTCTTCATAGCGTGACAAGTATTCTGTACCAAAACCAAAAGCTACTTGAGAAAGCAAACTCTGGAATAAAGGAAAAATGACATTCAGCTCAGACAGAGGGACATTTTGTAAAGCAACCACAAAAAAAGACGACCTTTAGGGACTGGACTTCAAAACTTGGTAATGCCTAACAAATGATCAGGGAAAAGTGGTTTCACTTTTATATTGGACTGGGATGTTTAATCCTCTGAATGGCAGCAATTCTAAGCAGTATTTAACCATAATAGACTGAATTAAATCTTGGCTGTACTTTCTTTAGCTACCAGGCAACCTTCACAGCTTGTTTTTTTCCATTAATGTCTCTGTTCAGAAAATACTATAGATGCATCTAGAAATTTGCAGTGTACACCTTTGCCTGTCTTGGAGAAACAAAATATTTCCTGAGTGTATGGGGCAGGGCCACTATGAGTAACAAGGCAGAAAGTACACCAGATGCTCAGGATAAGGAAAACCACAACCATCCCCTCCCCTGGTGTGTCTGCTACCTAGTTCTCACACAACAAACTAATAAACCAGTATAGTATCCAAACATCTTCTTCAACGTTACATTGCAAAAAACAGAGCAAGAAGTGATATAGTGCTGTTTTACAGGATACGTAGTTCAGCCAGGCAGACCTTAGGAGAATGAAGGGACAAGAGGGATCCCAACAGCAACTCTCAGTGAAGAATTATCATAGTGTGCTAAGTAAAAAATGTTTGGTTTTCAGCAATACATTCATTGTTCAATTACTCTACTTGTCCTTAAAAATTTTTATTTTTTCTTCAGGCCCCCTACACATGCACACCCTGCCCCTTATCATCTCTTGTAATTAGCTCTTTTTCAGAGACTAACCTTTGAACTACAAATACAAGACCAAACATATCAGGAACAGAGAAAAATATTCATGGCTTCTGGCCAGCAAATATCCTTTCTTACATGGATGCCTCCTCTTTCACTTTAGGGTGAGAAAAGTGTTGTCTTTATGCTTAGACTGTGTGCTAGTCTCAAGATTTCTTCCCAAATCAGAACCTGTCAGAGGCCAACCCTACTCATTTCCTGACTTAATGACAGGATCAAGTTTTGCACTTTATTGCCTAGAATTGGTAGAACTAAAAAATAGTATACACTATATCTGTATAGTACATCAGTTAAGAAAGCTGATTCATAGCCATATTTACACTTAGTTACAGCTTTTAAAGAGTTTTGTTTTCTTTTTCCTTTTTCATTATATTTCCTGGTGCAAGAGAAGACAGTACTTCTCTTTTACCTAGGTTGTTAGAATGCTCAGCAAAGATGGGAAGACTGGATTCAAACATCCGCTCCCCTTCCCAATTCATTGGGCAACAGAAAATCAGTCTGAATAATTTTGTAAGTTCACAGTTCCATTTCAAAAAACAGCAAGAAGTTTCCAGCTCCACTGAATTGTTAAGTATCTTACCTATTATGGAAGAGAACCAACACGGAAGCACTGCATGAAGAATGTCTACAACTTCTTAGATGGAAGATATTTCTCAGAGCTTTGGCACTTAGGTTCAAATCCTAACTCTAAAGAAGGAATATGAATCTGAGGTCTTCTCATCCTTAGATATTACCCTGTTAACTAGGTTATAGCACATAAGACAGACAACTGTCCCCATTTTGTGAATTGCCTTTGTATTCATTAAACATGCCAGAAGTTAAATTTGCTTTGACTTATAAGGAAGTATTCAAAACTTCCTGCAATTATGCTAATTTCCTAGCATTCAAAAAGTAAAATTAATTTTATTGAATTTTCTAAGAGCCATGAAAATATCTCTTAGTCACTAGGTCTGCTAAAGGCTTATTCACTTGCAATCCCTAATTATTTGAGAGAGATTTAGAGGTCTCCCTCTCGGAATCAAAAAGCAGAGAGGAAGAGGTGTGCAATGCTTCACTACTCACATATGCACAGTGAGAAGGGCAGCTAAAATTTGAACCCAAAGATACCATATAATCAGTGAAAGGCTTACTGCTAGGATCTTCAGATTAACGGTCATGCGGTCTTGCCAGACAAAGCAGACAATGTGGGGCAGGTACAAGGTGAAGTAGATGACTCCACTGCAGGCAGCTGCCAGATTTGCTTTGGAGAAGAAGGTGCTGAACAAGAAACACTGCATTATGGTGGCTGTGGTGAATGTCAGTAGGAATAGAAAGAAGAGAAGTGGACTGCTGTAATGTAGTACCTGTCCGCACTGTAAGCAGAAGGAAAACGAAAAAATTTAGAAGTATTGCCACTTTCTGAACTAGCAGAAAAGGTCAGAATTGCCATTGACATGTAACCTGTCATGAGTAATAAGCCAGTCTTTCTTACCTAATATGATTTCTAACTCTCCCAGGCAGTAATGTTTCAACACCTGAGGCCATTTCAATAACAAATCCTTCATCTAACTTTATCCCTACTCCTGGATTGTGACTTCAGGTTAGTACAACACGCTGTGGAATTCATATTCCTATTTGATGACTGAATTACTATCATAACTGATTGAAAACGGACCTTCTGTCCCTGTCTTAATAAGCAAATGATTCCAAGCAAGATGTACCTGCTTGGAAATTCATACATTTTAAATAAAACTATTTGAACTATCATAATAAATTTTCATTGATCTCTTCTCATCTTCTCCTCAGTCCACTTGCTCGATGTGCAGGAAAGACAATGTAAGGAAGCCTGACAAAATCCATCTTAAAAAAAAAACCAAACAGGAAAATTATAAAGCTTCTGCACCTAAATGATATTCAAACTCCAGAAGGGTATCACAGCTGAGGAATCCAAGTGCAGCTTCTCAGAGATCCTTGTGTACTAACTAACCCACTGGGTGAACTGTTATCGACCTTTCTTCCTTAGAGCTTTTGTAGATCAAACGCTCCCTCTCAAGAAGAGCACGGACTGCTGCTGATTATCTATTTACTCCTAAAAACAATGTTGAGACCTATTTATTAGGCTCAACTTTGTTTTGAGCCTTACATAAAGCTCAGATAGGTCTATAAGGCTATAAATAGGTCTCAACATTGTTGCAACATCCCACTGGGCCTCTGAGACCAATTTCTTTATCAACAGTGATACAATCTCTCATAAGAATGTATTTACAAAGGTGCCTCACACTGGCATGGTGAAATCCAGGAAAGGAAGCAAATTATAGGTATAAGCACATTCCTTTCTGGTATTAACTACCTCCTGATTTTTAATTAAACCACTGTAGCAAATAAAGTAAGCTTTCCCTATCCAGCCAAGCTGTAATAGAACCGCAAGGAACTAGAACAACTCATCAGGGCAGGTGGTAAGACAGAGTGGACTGAACCCTAACTATGCATTTATACCAATAACAGTTCCCCACATCAGAAAAGATGCAAGGGCATTCTTCCTTATCAAAATGTTACAGATTTATATAACTAAACAGCAGCTAGGAGGAGCTTGGTTCTCAGGTAACAGAGATAAGAGGTAGTCCTTAGAGACAACATCTAAACTGTCCTGAAGAGTTACAAAAATGACAGCAATTCTGAGTCACAGAAGCAAAAGGGGTTTTTTTGTTTTTTTTTTTTTTCAGGTTGTCCTGAAAGTTCTGTCCTTGCAGTCTCTTTTCTCATTGAAATAGTGCCATAATTTCTAAGCAGGCAAGCACTGAATATTGTAAATGAATCACATATGGTGAATTACAAGATTAAAATTCTTCATATTATGATCCTTTCTATTTAAAATAACAATTATTATTTATTGGGAGATCTGCCTCTGTCTACAGGAAATACAATATACAGAGTAATCAGCTTGATGCATTGTTCTGTGGGGAATCTCACAATAAATCTTACTAGCGAATTTATCTTTCTGTCTCTGCCAAGTGCTGATGCTGTCATGAGGTCTGCTTAGAAGAATGCGCCTGCTACGTGCTGCGATCAGAACAGGCCACCAGCCATTCCTGTCTCCCTGTGAATGGCTACCATTCTTTCTCAACAGCAAACTGGTGTCAGCAGTGCAAACGCAACAGTGACTTTGAGAGTGGCAATCCTTACCATAATCAGTGCTGTGAGGAGGAACGTGCTTACAGCCATCATGACAAAGCTGTCAAGGAACCAAGCACACCAAATCACCCCATTAGTTATACCCCTGTTCTTCATAGCCTCTTTCAGACGCATTTCCTTCTCCAGCACTATACTCTTCACAGTCATGGAAACTGAATATATCCAAGCTAGCACCATGAAGATGGGAAAGGCGCGGTTTAAGGTGATCATGAAGCTACCAAAGCAAGAAGGGAGAAATAAATTAAATTTAGGTAAAACAGAGAAATATTGAGATGAAAAGCAAGAATGAAAAGGAAAAGGAGTGGGGAAGAATGCATTTATTCCATGGGACTGGAAATTCTCAGTCTAAACGTCAATAACATGTTGCTAGTGAACTTCACAAGCAACCTAAATATTAATGAAATAATGGTTGCTGCACTCCCATGAGACAGATGAATGTTATTTCTATTTTACAAAGAGGTTCTAAGGGTTACTGAAGGCTACAAAACACGTGATGGCTTGTGAAAATACATCTCTCTTCACAGTGAATTGCCATAATGCTTTTACTATGATGTACAAAGAATATTTTAAGACATATGCTAATGTTAACAATTTGGGAGTGTCACTGTCTTTTTATGCTCCCAAGATTCACCGCCAAAAGAATTAAACAAATTAAGCATTAAAAGCATCAGATGCTGCAGCAAGGCTGCTGAAATTCATACAAACCATGACTCGGAGAATGCATTGGGACTGTCTTACATAGTACCACTTCCAAAACGACAGTGCTGGGACAGGCTGCTGTGGGTGGCCCTTCATGTACTGTGATGAAGGCACCGCTCCCTTTCTCCCTCCCTCCTGCCAGACTCTACAGCTGCTCAGCCCTGGCAGATGATCCTTGGTGAAGCACTGCCCCAAGTGTGCTGTCAGGGTGAGAAAGAGATTTTGGGGTGAAAAAAGCTGAAAACATTTTCTATGAATTTGGGATTGCAATTTTTCAATGAAATTACCCTGGAAACCAAATGGACTTGATTCTTTAAAGGCCAAAAGCTTAGAGCTGCTAAAAACAAAAAGGAGCAAAAAAACCTTCAGCTTCCTAAATCTGAGCCCTACAGAACTACATTTTTGCTATATGCTATCATAGCTACTCCACTGTCAAAACAAATGGAAAATCTTCACTTTTTGAAGAGCAATCTGGCCTGCTGAAACAAAGCCATGCTTTGGTGGAATGGCCTGGGGTACACTGGGTTTTGCCTGTTGGTGGACACATGTAAGAGAGCACTAAGCCATGCATAGCACAACATACACGTTTACCATGAGGATACGCTTGCTTCACTTAAGCAGGCTCTCTGCAGAGGCCATCGCTGGGTTTGGATATCAGCCCTGAACTGTGTGTGGCTGCTGCAGGCTTCAGAGAACTTTCGCACAGATGGGGTTTCTACCTCTGCAGTATTCTCAGTGGGGAGGAAATAAACAGCAGGCTTGCCAGGGCCACATTTTGTCAGGCTAACAGGTAATGACTGATGGGAATGACAGGTCAAATTATGTGTATCGGCAATCTGCCATTATCTGAAGTATTAGCACTTGCCTGAACAGAACACACTGACAGAACTATGAAATGATTTCTATAGCATGGTTGGTTTTGGGTTTTTTTTGGTTTGGGTTTTTTTTTTAGTGAAATGTATATCAAGACACTTGCAGTAGCACAGATTGCAGCATTGGAACAGGCACACTGTGAACAGGGAAGAGGTACCACTTCATAAAATCTGGAGCACACGTGTTGGTTCAGGCAGCACTAATGGGGGGCACAGCCCCACTGCCTTCATGGAGCCATGAAATAGCCACACCCAGGAACAGAGTCTCTTTCTTTTTTGTTACAGAGCAACAAACCACCTCTTTCTCCTTTAGCTTCTTTATTCTGCTCTTCACCAGGGGAAGAAACTCCTGGTAATGGACTGCACCCACAGTCCTGGAATCCTTTGCTAGATTCATATGAGATTTAAGACAAAAACCAGTCAATCTTCATAAAAACCATAAACAGGAATTAGGGAGAAGAAGGTTAGAGAATATCAGGTTATTATTGAAAACTGTAGCATCCACAAGGGAAGAAAAAGGGCTGATGTTAACAGAAACCAATGCTGTATATCCAGTTTCATTGCAGATACTAGTCATGTAGTTATAAATGGAATCCTGTTTAAGGATGTGGTTAGGATTTTGGAAAGAAAGAGTTTCAAGAGACTAAGTTGTTTTGGGATTCTGCAAGGCCTGTAGGTGTCTTCAAGGATCAAAAACTACAGCTTTGGGTATTGGCGTATCTAGATATGATTAAGTCTAGGGCTAGGGTTTGGTAATACACTTGAAGCGACTGGGTTGTTTGATTCTTCAAGACTTACAGACATAGCAAGAGAGGTATCAGTTCCATCAGGACAAGCATTTTCTGTTCAATTTTTCTTTAGGAAATGATTCTTTGGATATAAAGAAAGATGGGATTTAGAAATGTAATTAGGGAAAAGAAGCTTACTACACTTCAGTGGATTCTGCACAGTTAACTGAAGGATGCAGTGTTTGTTCTAACATGGGTCAGTGCTCTGTGTTCAGTTTTGCTACAGGCACTGGTCATATGCTATAGCATGAGGCTTAGTTTTAGTTAGATAAAAACTTTTTAGAAGATCACATTTTTGCTGGGTCCTGTGTAATCACAGGGGTAGTTCCAGGACTGACATTGTTAGGGATCAAATCGTTATAGTTGGAGCGCCCTGCTGACAACAAATTCTCGGCTGTAATCAATGTGAAGGTTTAGGTTAGGTTATTATTATTATTGCCTGGAAAAGAAAGGCCAAAAAACCCCCAGGTTATTTTTTTGGATTTTGTGTGATATGCAAAAACTGGAAGAAAACTGCTGCTTTTAAGGGGCCAATGTTTTGTGTTCGTTTTAGGTCTGGACACTGGTTGCCTGAATGCAACAAAGGCCAGGACTGGGATTAGGGGTAGAATCTTGGCAAAGGCGGCTTCTGGAGTCTGGGTTATGGCAGGATAAGGAAAAGAACAAATTCATTCACTTACGTCTCAGTTATTGCTCTTGCATGTATACCTTAGGACTAGGGTTAGAACTGGTGCTTGGGAGTCTTAAAGCACACAGCAATCCAAGTATTCATCAGAATTAAGATAAACTGCTTTTACTCACACATCATCCACAAAACATGGATATGGCATTTGCTGCAGATAAATTCCTAATGGCACTTCAATGTTGGTCTGGCTCTTTATAATCCCATGCTCAATCATGTCTTGGAGATATGCAAAGCCTCCCCAGATATAACGTAAATCATCCACAGGATCAGCTCTTGGTCCAGGATCCCAGTACCTCAAAAGGAAAGTCACATGGAAACCATTTGGGTAAACAGTGGCTTTAGGGGAGGGGCGGGGGAATAAATAATAATAAAGAAGAAAAATCTTAGCTACTGAAATTGTAGGGGCACTGCCTGGAGTTGTCTTTTCTAGATTTTGGTCTGTCAGACCACATTGCTTGAGAAAGTATATGACCTGGAAGGTTCTTTCGTTTCCTTTAATTTTCTCTGCACTGACACATAATAGCAAATTTGGCCAAAAATGTACATAGATTAATCATATAGCAGAGTAACTGTTCTAGAACAGAAAAAACTACATTTGGAATATAGTACTCTTGGAGATTAAACTGGAACAGCTCAATTGCAACTACCAGACACCATTATATTCCTCTATGTAGATCATGCTGAGAAAATATTTCTGCTATCCCTTTAAGTGAGTCCACTTGAGGAGGACTTGAGGAGGAACAGCAGAGAAGTTCTGCTGTCCAGGTGGAGGACAGCTGGGTCACAGTCCACATGGGACTTTGTCTGCCTCTCCCAGTGATGGAGCCAACTAAAAACTTAAGCAGGTTACTGAATAGATTCTGAGCAGAGTCATTCCCTTTGCCATGTATCCATGCACCTACCCACTGCTTGGCCTAACTGTCACAAGAGTGATACCACTGGTGTCAGTACCTGGTAACTGGAGATGGATTCTGCACTGTATTACATACTAACTATTGGTGAATACAGTTGGATTTCATGCATGTATCCAATGCAGGTTCTAATGTCTTTATGTCTCTCATATTCATGTTATGGCAGGCAAGAACTGAGAAGAAACCATCACTTACCTGTCTTTGATTTTGTTTGTTTTCTCCACTACATCTATGTCCATCCGGATCTTGTATTTCACAAGTGGTGGAAGACTCCTGGTTGTAGGCTCTATGTCTGGAAAAACGACACCAGCCCAGAATTTATTTTCCTCCAGCAGATGAAGGGCTTGATGAGTCAGTTGAGTTTCATCAAGATAACCTTCAAATTTATCCAAGGTCAAGCACTACAAATAATCACAAAGAGAAAAATCGCATGGGAATAAACTAGTAAGAGGTATACATTAAAGCAAACATCAGTGGTTGAAAACAAAAAAGGGAGGTAGGTTCATCTGAAGTAGTTGCTGTTTTCAGCTTTAAAAGCTTATGCTGAAACTTAAAAGTTGACTCTCTCCTCCTTCCTGAAAGCTTCCCCATTCTTAGTCTAATTCTTATGACAAATTCAAAACACACAGCATTATCAATACAAGCTCAGAAACATCATTCTCCCTAAATCTCCCTCAGATTTAGCATTGCTGTGGTCAACGTGAGTGGATGGAATAATTTTGAAAGCAGTTTATTCCTGATATTTAAGGATTGCCTCCTCCAAGCTCAAGAAATGTCCATCCTGACAAATAAGAAATCAAGCAAGGGTGGCCACTAAAGCAGGAGCCGCTGTTGCAACTTAAGTATGATGGCAAATTTAGATGTACCTGTACAAAACGTATAGCTAGTACGAGGTTCAGCCAAAGCCTATGGTGACATGTTTACTAATTAGATAGAATGAAATTTTTTTTTAAAATATATATCACTGTAGTCATCCAGCCATGGAAATCTGAACTCTGCCACTTGGACTATACTTGGAAGGTTCCCTCAAAAAGGCAAATATCTGAATTGGAAGGGCTAAAGCTGCAGCGCAGATGAGGTCCCAGTATCAGGAACTGTCTCCACAGTCTGCATGCAAGAGATAAAATTAACTCAGCCATAAAATAAATCTGGCCATGAGAGCTTTTTAGCAGTCCAGTTGAATCGAAACACTATCCTTTTTCAAGTTTTGGGGCATTTTTTTCAGCCTAGGAAGTGCCTGAGTGAACACCAGGGAGCTAAAGGATGACTGATCCATAAGAAAAGTGCATTAGCCATGGACTTCAGCTGAAAAGCACTTTGTCAAGTGAAGCGCTGGCAGAGTCAGAGCATAAATTTGAAACTTAAAGTCTCTTAGGTATTTAGGTATTTATTCCTATTTAATGCCAGTCAACTAGTCAATTGATCCTACTGATAATACTGTCCCTACTGAATTCTGACATGTGATGAACCTGCTGGCTTAAGTTAACATGCTTTGGCTATCTCAATAATAAAATGTAGTTTACCCTTCACAGCAAACTGTTTTCTTAGTCTCTGTCATTATTGTGAAATGTATTATTATCAGTCCATATACAAGACACCAAGTCATCAAAATCTAAGCCCTTCATGTCCCCCCATTTAACTCCTATTTAACAGGCATTGTAAGACAAAAAGATTGTGAACACTACAAACTCTATCATTAGTTATCTGTAAAATTACAGACTTATGTTTGTACATTTAGCTTCTGCCCTTCAGAATTGGCAAGACATTACCAGAGAGTAGAAGTATTTAACCCCCTGATGGACTGGGAAGATACTTATTGAATTTTCTTGCTTCATAAAATTCCAGGAGGCGAACTTGTTTCATCTTATCTTCTTGATCATCTCTTGCAGGTCAATAACCAAAAATTACTCCACATCAAAGTGCTCATACAGGCAACTTGTTATTTAATGGATAGACATCTTAAGGACTCTTATTTAACCTTTCCCTGTGATAAATCATGCTCTGTTTCCTTGAAAACTTGAAGTATCACAGTTTAATGGGATCTATATGAAAAAAAATTTTTAACTGGCAGCAAAACAAAACAGTGCTTAAACTGATAACTTTATTGTTTTGTAGCTTTACTCTTCCTGGTGTTTTGCAAACGTTCGATCTCCTAGTTTGCTTTACAAAATTAAACTACATAGAATTTCATATCAGGAAGCAAAATAAGGCAGAAAAACTTTCTGGTTTGTATGCCAGAAGAGAAATCGAATTAGACTGATGGCTCAGGTTGTATTAATTTTTTTGAGATATGTTTATCGCACATAGTTAACTGAGTTCTGGAACTCAGTTTAGTTCTTGCCAAAGTGTCAGTGTTTCCACAACAAAGTCCTGCTGTGTAACTGTGTCTTTGCAGTGTCTGGAGGACTATTTGCTGTTTCTTTGTTATGAGGAATTATTTTCAAGGTACTTGTTGCAGCTGCAGAAGAACTCATGTAGTTTTCCAGAGGAATCTGTGGGAATGGCACTGGCAAAGTAGTAACAGACAACTGATCTTGTCTAGATTTTCACTGCAGAATAGACAGTATCTGGACTAGGCTGAGGAGCGGTATAGGCTCTTATCCAGGGGTCCAGTCAAGGAAGCAGCAAGAGTTCAAAACAGAAAACACAAGTGCTTATAGATCTTCTGGGTGAGTAGAACGAAACAAAAGCTTGTATGAGAACACAGGTTAAGACACCAGTGTTGCAATAATTCACACAATTTGAAAGTGAAAAGAGATTTTATATTGTAATCTACTAGCCAAAAACTAGAATTTCTTTCTTTTAACATTAATTGCAGTCAAAACAAAGGCTGTATGCTCTACCTAGGCTTTTTTCAGTGAATTGCGTCACAGCTTGTGCCTTCATAAACCTCACTATGTCAAAATTCATTCATCAACCACTTGGGGAAATTTATTTCAGATCTTCTCCCAATAACTATTTAACAATTTAAAATTTAAGATGGGAAAACCAAAGCTAAAATACTAAGAACAGGTTTGGAAGATAAAACTAGAAAATAATAAGCATAAAGAGGTAACTAGGTAGCACGCTCAAACAGTTTAGCTGTTCTGTGGCCTAAGGCAATTAAAGGGAAGAACAGGAAATTCTTGGAGTGGTGAGGATGAGCTGCCACTGCATAATTTGTGGGATTCTCAGCTGCCTCACAGCTTGCAGCAGAGACCTGGAGTCTCCAAAGACAGTTGCTGGCAGCACACCTCTCCTCATTGCATACTATGATAAGGAGTAGGGTGTCCCTGAAAGGCAGCTATTTGTTCTCATTGTGCTTGGCACAGTGTGAAAACATTCTCAAATGCTAACAACTCAGTGTAAACAGCAGACTTAAAAGAATAAGCTCATTACAAAGACCTTTAGGACACAAAGATCTATTACCAGGTACAGTAACTCCCCTGATATTGTGGATGTTCCAGCACTGACCTGCTGCAAGCAATATATTTCATTCAGCTTGAGTAAGAAATAATTCTGCTAACATGATGCAAAAAGAACATCAGAAGAATCAGCAGAGCTTTGTGCAAAAGCTTTATTGTTCCCTCTTGTAATAGCTATAGGAAGGCAGATAAACTCTCAGTTCCTGCCTTCTTGCAGGGGATGAATGGTCTTTTAGACTGAACTGAACTGGAATTAGGAGAGCTAGGCTCGGTCCTGTTGCCTACAACTAGTATCAATTTTCTCTGTGAGCTTGAGGCTCAGCTTATTTAACCATTAAATAATAACTAAATATTTACTTTTCTTTCAGAGATGCTTGTAAGATGTAATTCATCTATATAAAGACCCTGACCCTCATATGGCAGATGCTAAGTGTTGAGCTCCCAAGTATTAGTATTACTGCAGATAGCAATAGTTTTTTTTTTAAACTCTCGGAGTTAACCTGCAACATTGCAGGGTCCACTAGTTTTGCCTGGACTCATAAGTTTACAAAGAAGAGTTGGCATTTCATTCATCTAACTTAGCAGGAATCCATCCCATCTTAGGTCCAGTTCCAAACACATGTTTACCTGCAGTCAGAAATACACAGGATTAAAAAAAAAAACCCAAAACACCTCCTGGTGTCACTTACCCAGCTCTGGGAAGGAGTGGAGGCAGCAGTTTGCCTAGCTCTCTAAAAAAATATAACCTTTTTTGGACTTAGTCGGAGTCTGATGAACTCATCAGTAAGTTATATTGCCCATACCAGAGTAACCTCTTACTAAAAGTATCTTCTAAAGTATTTTTACAATGGCTTGCTATTTTCATCTACATTTTTAGCATTTTTCATTTACATAATGAAACTCCACCTCACTTCCTGCACTGTGGCTCTCAAAAAGCCTCAGAGCGCCCCACTAAAAACACAGCACCCTAGGGAAGGGGGGTACAGATTCCAGGAAAGAGACACAGACATCTTGTCAGAAGTGACTACAGAACAAGTAGAAACTCCCTCATTGGTTTCAATGGAATTTTGATCAGGTGCTTAAAAACCTGAAGGGGGACTTACCAAAGAACTGTTAGCTTCTCTGGTCCTGGTCTTGCTGAAATTAGTGGCCTGTCAGTTATTAGTACTTAGAAAAAAAAATGTTTCCTTGAGGTTTTTCATTCACTTTCTGCCTCTCAGCATCAAAGTGCGTTCAGATATTCAACCAATATTTTGAATTTTGGAGGCTCATCAAATTGAAGGTTTTTTTCCATAATAGTAAGTATTCATGTTCTTGTACTGCTTTATTATTTTAAAAAAATGCTTTTAATATTGAGATTAAATTTGAAACAAAGGAAGATGTCTTATGATTTTAACCTTCTCGTCTGTTGCCACAGACCCCAAGTACTGCCTACCCTGCTTTAAGATATTCTCTACAAGTATTCCCAGCAGTGGGAGGGCTGACCTTACCTCCAGATATTGACTGAGCAAACGCAGAGCTTGGTCTGCAGCACTGAAGATGTTCCGCCAGTCAAAGTCTGCCATTCCCTTCTCCCGGCTCCCTGGAGACCCATTGTGGAAAAAGTTGATTATGTGTTCAGCAGTTAAGCCTTCAGCACTCAGTTGGCTGTTCAAGAAGCCCCTCACTGTAGGGTGCTTCAGAGACTCCTGAGGAAACACATCAGGACAGCTTCACTACAATGATCCTCTTCACATGCCCTGTTTAGCTAGAAAGGTTTCCATTTCCATAGCTCTTTCTGAGCTATGTAGTAGTACAAAAGGGTATGCTAAGGAATTAATTTTATAAATGGGCAATTGCATAGCTGAACTGGAGGTGAGACTCGAAGAATGGTTGAAAAGAAATTTATCCTTGACTATTTATTGCATTTTTCCTTATAAGCAAGAGGACAAATGTAATAAATGCCTAATCTAATAGAGAAGAGTGTGGAAAACCAAATGTCTTCTCTAGTATGAACTGCTTTATGAACTTTAACTACAGATACTACTTGCAGCTGATCAAAGTCAGATCTAACGGATGTGGAAATAAGCAATTTCCTAAGGTAGTAAATTGCTGGACCCAGCAAAAACATGGTCCTACCGCCACCTTTGCCTGTGCAGAACCCAAGAAAATCAAGTTGTCTGCTCTTGAAGGACATTTTGGAGAGACAGGGAACCAGCGATTGCTGCCTTTATTAAGAAGTCACTAGCCAGATTCTAGAGAGTGTCCAGATCTGAGGTTTTGTCACAGAGATGCTGTAATGCATCTAAGACTAGACTTCAAACCAAGCCCAGTAACCAGTCCAACAGCCTCAAAGGCCACAGATTCCTTGCTGCAAAGGCTGTGCTTCCAGCCAAAACCTCCAAATTAATTCTCTCCTCCCTTAGCAAAATAAGGGATGGTAAAAGGCTGCTCTTACTGAGGATCCCTGCTAAGTTATAACATACACGGATCATATTCATTTGCAGGCTCTTTTGAAAGAAGTACCACAGCTGAGGTCCTACTTCTTCCCAAGCTTTGGTCAACAGTCTGAAGCGTTCAAGTTCCTCAAAAGTGGAGTTTGCCTGAGGAATGAAACAGTGGAAGAAGAGTGTTAGAAAGCTAAGGAGATAAACAGAACTTATGATCCAGCCATTCACTGACAGTGAAACCTGTAACTTACAAATGTAGTTTTTACCTTCAATACTTAAGAAACTTGTTAAAATAGCAGAAATGTTAATTCTCAGAAAAAGAATTTGTAAAATCCAACTGGAATCAAAGTCACTTAGGATAAATTTCTGTTGTACACATAATGGAAAAAACAAGTGCACATTAACCCCAGTTAACTTAAATTCTTTTAAATACTCAGGTTTTAGGTAGAATGATTTCTTCCTCTCTTTTTCCCCTTGACTATTTCTCTCCATTGAGAACTAAAAAGAAAGATGATGATGTGGGTAGATGAATAAATGGGAGGCAGTTGGAGAAGACAGATACTCTCATAGTTAAGATATTAGTTAAGATTTGAAAATGTTGGGCTGCTGTAAATCTCATGTTTTCCTGTATGAACTATGAGCAGCAGTTCTTCTGTGCCTTACATAGATGTTGAGAGTAGGTGAATTGCTGGTTATGAGGTGGCCAAAACCTAGGTCATATGCGACCTTGATTTAACTGCTCAGATTCATTTCACCCAGCTTCAGGCACTTAGTGAAGAGTCCAGGCTCCATCCTATTTTCATGAAGTGAAAATTATTTATCATTTCAACATATATAACATTAAACCATGATGTTGCTATTGGTTTGTAATCTCTCAGTGTCAGGTCTCAATGAGTCTATCCAAGCCTCATAGCTGCCCCATTTAAATATTTACTAGCACAGAGCTGCTGATGTTCCTATATCTGTAAAATATATATATATATATAACATTACTATTTTTACTAGTGTAAATGTCGAATCGTGCCAACAAAAGGCTACCTGAGCTGGAAAAAGTATGTAGTGTGGACCAAGATGGGATGAATCAGTGAAGATCTGTCTCCTGTTTTTTAAACAAAGAGTAACTGTCCCTCCTCTGATAACCATCAGAACAAATTGAGTTCTGAGAAGAAAATCTGATTAGGTTGAGGTAGCTGGGTCACTGTTTTTCAAAAGATGTTTCTTAGAATGCAATTTTTTAGAAATATACATTTTTGTATTTCAGAACTTCTTACATTTTTTAGGATTTGCCGTACAGAAGGTGAATCAGGAGCAAAGAGAATTTTTCCCATCAGCAGGGGCTTCACAGCACTCCAGGCTATTTTGGTTAAAGGGTTTGATTCCAAGTTCTGGATCAATGCATTACAAAAGGGTGCTAAAGACAGAAAGAAAGACAGTCTTTATGAAACCCTACTCAAATCCTATCATACGTAACATCCTGCAGGGCTTTTTACTGGCAATATAGACAGTTTAAAGCATTTTGAATCTTTAATTTAACCATCTTAAATAGGTTAAGCACATTCTGCAATGTAGACATACAACATCTGAATAAATGGAAAAGACTACTAAGTAGATACTGGAGTTGTAAAGTAGACACCATGGAAATCAGAAGAGCAAACAAATTTAATCATTTGAAAGTTGCTGTTATTTATAAGGTATTTCAAATGGAGGAAACCAGACAGCTCAAATCTCACTGAACAATTTTGAGCTCTAATTGCTTTTCTCCTAATGACTTAGCTCCTTTGTATTGTAGTTGATACTGATAGAAAACTACTTTTTCCTCCTGTTAGCGGTTAATTGTTACACAGTATAAACTATTGGGCTGGAGATCCAGCAGGCTTGGATGTTGAACTCCAGAACAGTTCAGAACTGGATCCTACAATAATTTAGAACTAAACATTTTAATGTAAACATTTCTATCTTACTCCTGCACTATGAAATAATTAGTTTACTTGGATATCATTCAACTATTTTGTTCCCTGGCTGAAGAAATGGAGTACTGGGCCTTTTACGGGTCTTTTGAAGGTCCACACATAAGTAGAACCAAGTATCAACATGGACAGTGAAAGGCAGAAGTCTCTTTACAGGCAAAGTGCTCACCTGTACTTTGTAACCCTACAACCATATCTATCACAGCGGAAGGGACACAGAAATGTACTACCAGCGATAATATGGATGTTAGTACAGAAAAAATTGCTGGTGGTCTCAATGTAGAGAAAAACTAAATAGCAAACAGAAGGGGATATAATAAAAAGATAAAATAATGAATGGTAGAAAAGATAAAATTGGTTCCTCTTTCTTTGGTTCTCTCCTATTACAATAGCAAGAAGATAAGTGAGGAAATCAAAGCAACAAAACCTGGTAAATTGAAATACTTTGTATGTAAGATTTAATTATGCTGTAGAACATTACTGCTACAAAATATAGGTACTTTTATGCAGGAAGAGAACAGCTGCCATGCATCAAATTGAGTATTATTTAAAAGGAGAGATTTTAAAATTCCTGTGCTCCAGGCCATCAATCAAGTTGAGAGGCTTTAAAAAAAAAAATTATCTTGGAGAAAAGTAATTCCAGAATACAGCGCTGTATTTTCCTGAAGCTTCTTCAGAAGCATCTAGTTCTTCCTGGTATCAGTAGCATATATTAGAAGATAAGACTGAGGGACTGTCTTAATTATGATGATGACGATGTTTATGTGTTTGTATTGAAAGCGTATTTCTGTCAGTTCTCAATTCTTGGGCTTCTCCGCTTCCAGCTATGAAGTAAGTACGAAGTAAAACCATTTCACCTGTCTCTAATTTCCTGAATCAACTGCTTAAAAATGTTATTTTATAAAAGCAGCAGTGGTATTCTAACATAAGGGCACCCGTCTATAGTCTCTGTAATGGTTTGGTGGAAAAACTTACTGGTTGTATTATCATAAAGATAACTGGATTTCTTTGTTGACTCAATCCCCAGGAAAGCTTTGTAGTTATTATCTTCATACCAGTTGAAGGAAAGCACTCTGGATCCACCTCCTTCTGGGTAGCCACAGAAAAGATCAGACAGGTTGCTCACCAAGTGGCCTAAGGATTCTGGCCTTCTGTCTTGTACAAATGGTTGCAGAGCCATCAAAAGGTCCTGAACACTTTGCTTCCTGGCTAGCTGCAGTAAGACAAGATTTTGTTAATTGCAACCCTCAAAGAAGGTAAGCATCTGGTGAGGTCTCAGTTGTGCCCAGACTGGTAAAGTCTGGACGCAGTCAGAACCTCGTCCTTTTATCTCCTCTGTCCTGATCAGAGGCATCATTTTCAGCTCTTGTTCTCTCATGTCTTTTCTGAGGAAAAGAATATGCTTCATAATTGCCAATGCTTATGTCTACATTTATTTTGTAATGAGAGAAGAATGAATTTCTAAGGAATCAGCTCTTCCCAAACAAGTCTATTTCCTTTCTGATAAAGCAGGTAACTGGAACATAAATAGAACAAAGAAAAAGGAGGATTATGTGCTACCCAGAAAAGTGATGCCATCTATTATTAAACCACTTACCTTTTGCACTGCCTGTGACACACTAGACAGCACCCTCCCCCAGACCTTCAGGTCAACACCTGGTGAGCTTCTGTCCAACACAGTGGGAAGCTGTGAATACATCAAGAAATACAGATGTTTTGTATAGTTTCTACATGACAACAGCTAATTACAGTGAGAAAAGAAAATCCAAATGACATCTCTCTAGCTCAAATACTTTGAGTTATTTGGAACAGCGAGTCTTGTAAGCCTGTCTTGTGGGGCCACAAATCCACTACCCATGTGCAGACTCACACAGCAACCTGTGTAAGGTTACTTACTAACATGAGGCTGAAACAGTCACAGGCCACTGAAAATATAGCTTGGGATTTGTTCTGCTTATCTAAGCCCACCATGCCAAAAGGTGCAAAAATGGAGAAGGAATGCAGGAACTGGGATTTCTGAGAAGCTGCTTCTCACAGAGGCTATTCTTCCAGGGAGACGTACAGACTCTTGGTAACTTCTCAGTTTAGCAAAGGTTGTGATACAGAAGTCCCTATTTGCCATGGAGGTAAATAACTGGTAGTACTTTACACTTGAGAGATTTCCTGATTTTGGAGGCAGTCTGGTCCTCGCTGTCTGTCAGATCTGACAGAAACCATTACTTCTCCAGGCTCCTGCAGACTGGCCAAAGGGCCTTTCCAGCAGGAGTTAACACTTTAGTTAACACTGGCTTCTTAAGAAACAGGTGACACCATGGCATGCCATCACATACCACTTTGCTTGCATCACTGCATCCTTCTTAGTCAGCTGTCTAAAGAATCACATGTGCACTTGGAGTTAGCACTCTTGAGGCTTTCTCAGGCATCTATTTCTTTCGGTATTACAATAAAATATAAACCTGGACTTTTAGATAGCTAGGCTGTAACATTTATGAGATAAGCCCCTAAAAAGACTTCTCCAAAACTGTGTAGCTATACACCCTGCTGATTCCCTGCCATTCCTTTCAGTCAGTAGGTGGTTAAGAAAGCAGAAGACAGCTGCACTGTGTAGGTACCTGGCACGGAATCACAAAGGCAAGAGTTTTTATGGAAAGCTTATGTTAGCACGTTCTGATCTGTCACTTGCAGTTCAGGCAGGAAGTATACATATACAATGTTTCAAAATACACTTTTCCTTTGTCTTCTAAGGGGAACCAGTCTCTGCAAAGATTATACAGGATTCTTGGAGCACTTGCCTTAACCTGGCCTTTTTGAAACTGTGAGCAACAGGTATTGTAAACAATCTGAAGCAAACCAGAGAAAAGCCTGGGATAAATATGGAATTAAGAACCTCCTTCTTGTAGCTAGAGGAAAAGAAAAGAGAAATAGGGGCAAAATTACACATCTGCTCCTAAATATTATTTCTTGCAGGAGGCATTCAGCATGAATCGGGTCTTAGTAGAAATGTCCTACAATGACTGAATTTGTACTCAGCTAGTTCACGTTCTCTAGAAGCACACATAAGACAGGATCAGCAGACATTACATACAAACCACACTCTCATCTGACCTAAATATCAGAGCATACAGTTGGGAATGTTTATTGACCCGAAGCACAGAGGAGGATGAAAGCTTTACCCAAAATATTTATCCAACTATTTTCATATTCACTGGAAGTGAATATGGTGTCATGAAAAAAAGGACGAGCATAAACATTGAAGAGTTTCTTTCCAATAATGCAAGGCCCAGTTCTGGAATCCACAGTCAGCTGCCCATCCTAAAATAAGCCCTACTCAAACAAGGAGCTCTGCAAAAACAAATTCTGCTATGTGATTGGCTATACTATACAACTGTAGCCTGAAGACCATGAAGCACGGGGTGACTGACAGCGTAAGAGTGCAGAAAATAACCTGGTCTTGAATACACAAGTATTTCTAATGTAGAAGTTTTAAAACTAATGTAGAATTTTAAAAAGCCCAATGAAGATTCATTCTATATATGTAATTGAGTGTAGATTTACACTCAGTTTGATTACATATCAAGTGCATGTGATGATACTGATCAAAGCAGCTGTTTCAACAACATGTGTCTATGCTTAGGGAAGAACTGCTTATCTCCACCCAAAATTGCAATAAGGTATTAATGAATTTTATTTTCATTTATTTATAAGGTTTAAAGAACTTCAAACAAAGCTTAAACAGGCAGGTTCAAGAACAGCAGTGCTCCAGAAAGAGGCTCATTTTCCCTGCTGTGGCTGAGCCAGCCACACAGTAAAGGAAGGGCCTTATTTTTCTGTCTCTGCTTTGCTATCAAAAACATGAGTTGCTTTAGTTTCTGGCAAAAACCCTTAGAGGGTATACATGAGCACATGAAGGATTTGAGTGTATGTTTATGCACATACATACCTGAATATGTTGATCACAAATTCAACAAGAAACATTAATTTCAAAGTGGTGGAGAAGCACATTGTAAAAATAACTGTGGCAAGGAGTGCTTATGCACAGTCTACCATTTAGTTTAACAGAAGTAACTGAGATGGATTTTGATTTAAAATGGGAACTTCTGCCGTGGAAAAAACCAGAAATATATTAAAATTATTTAGCAACTATAATGATGGGAGTGTGAGAAAGCTTCTACCAACTTGAGGTCTCATTGTACTAAGCATCATGAAAAGATAATCCCTCTTCTCTGCAGCTGGATGCACATTAAAACCCACTGGGAATCAGGCTTCTAGCAAGCATCAGATATATGAAAATACCTGAGTATATTTTTAGAAATGGAAAATATCAGCTTTCAAAAGCTGACCACAGATTCTTATCAGGATTGGCAAAATCACATGGGCACAATGAATGACTGTCAATGCTACAATAATCAAACAGTAATTTGACTGGTGTGTCAACACAGCTTCTGGCATCCTCTGTTCCCAGTTCTGAGCAACTCAAAGCTGAATAAAATCCATGTTAAATTAATCATGATGTTACACTGCTGTGGCAGAAAAAGTCTGATCAATACTTTCTATGTAACTTTAGCAGCTGCTTATATATCCTGCCGGCTGTATACAGCAAACTGCCAATGTGATGGTCTCATGACATTAAGTTACAAGGTGAAAAACAGCAAATTAAAGTCGTTGTTGAAAAATGCAAAGTCATGATCATGGGAAAAACAAACATGAAAGACAAATACACAGTGATGGGCTCTAAGTTTGCTATCATGAGGAAAGAGACCTTGGAGTCTTCATGAATAGTTCTCTGAAAGCACCAGCTCAGTGTGCAGAATACAAATGGAGTATTAGAAAAATATTAGGAAAAGAACAGAGAGCAAAAGCAAAAAAAACCCCCATCAGTATGCCATTTTATATATATAAACAAATATATATTCATATTATTACTTTTAAATATATAATAAAACATAAATAATAAATAAATATACGTATAATGGCATAATGCCTCCATACTGAACCAAGGTTGCAGTTGTGGTTAATATATGGCAAGAAGGTCACAGCAGAAACAGGAACAGCACAAAGAAGGGCGGTGAAAATGAACATAGGTAAGGAAAAGCTTCTGTAGAAAGAGTCATGAAAGCCGGTACAACTTGTTTGTTTTGTTTTTTTGTTTTTTTGTTTTTTTTTTTTTTTTTAAAGGCTCATATGGTTTTCCCAACTCAAGCTGCATCATGGCTTTGACTTCAGCATAAAATTCTGTCATGTTGGATGGAGCAAAGACAGGATGGGTTGTATGGGGTATTTTCAGAACCCTCAGCAAGGTCCCTGTAGGTCTTGCCACACACTGTTTTGCTACACAGACTGGAAAGACCAGATAATAGTTCCACACACACTCTGATTTTAAAATTGCATTTGAATTTTTTAGTTCTGTTGTACTGTGAATTTCATCTGTTTCATCCCAAAGCATACTCAGAACTGTCTAGTGTTCTGCTGATGGTAGGTTAGCGATCGTACATCCATAACCTTACATTTGCAGGGGTAAATAAACAAAGACCACTTGGAACATTGGTGATGTATTACAAAGAAAATTCTTGAAATATCAGCCAAAAAAATGACAACATAAGGCAGGATGATTGTGTTAATACTTACCAGCTGAAATAGCTTAAAGAAATCAACATTTGCATACAAGGCATCTTCTACTCTCTGTAGGCTTTCCTGGGACAAGGCACACATGGCCTTGTGCACAGAAGGGAGACCTCTTCGGCTGCTGAAGATAATAAAGCGGGTCAGGAGCATCTGACTGCAAGCAATGTCCTTCAGAGTCAAGCTAGGGACACCGTAGGCAAACTGCAACCAAAAACAATGTTTCATTTACTATTGTGGAACCTTCATACTCCTCAGGAACAGTTAAAGATTTAGCAGAAGTGGACACCTTGATATCAGTCCCTGCTAATATTTTCATGAATGGCAGAAGGATGTGGTCAGCTGAAGCATCAACTCTTGAACCACCTTCACTTGATGTTATGCTAGATCACCTTGCCTTCAGTCACGTTTTTCCTCTTCTCGTTATTGCTTCTTCCTTCCATTGCAAAAGTTCTGTGAGTCTTTTTCCTTCCTCTCTGTCACCTAAGCACACCTGATGCCATGCCACCCCCATCCTTGTGGTTAAGGAGGGATACCTACGGCTTGCTTGAAAGTATTTCCCCAGGACTGGTTAACTGATTGTGCCACATCACTCTACCTTTTGTGTTTAGGCTAGTTATGTTTTTGCTGTCAGTTACTCTAAGAGAAAAAGGCCAGTTCCACTGATTCTCAAGCTTGATTTCCCTCAGTATTTTATTTCAGTTATGACTATTCCATCCCAATGCTTCCCCACAGCCATTAATCATTGTCACTGTGCACAGGCATACAGCCAGGCTTTACAAAGCCATTTTACGTTAAACCATACCCATTCTACTGATTACCACTTCTAATATAAACACGGAACAGAAAAAAACAATTATTATCTTTAGTGTTCAACCACTGGGAACATATTAGTTAAACCAATGTAAATGCAGAATAACTCCATAGAAATCAGTAGATTTACCTGGGATTTACATTGTTGTAATGGAATACTCTTGGTAGTCTATGATTCAGTTCTACTTGCTTTATAACGGACAGAATACGTGGCAATATAATAAAAAATAGCACTGGAAAATGCTCATAAGGTAATGTTCCTATCCTCTGTCCACCTCTTTTCACAGTACAAATTGTAAGGAAAAAAGCTCACAACACTGATGACTGTAAATGCCTACTGTGCTCAAGATGAACACAGACTTTCAGACAAAAAAGAACTATGCACTGGCACAATATCATCAGGCTAAATGAATTTAATAAACTGCATAGAAAAAGAAATAGTCAAAATCTGCACAGAATATAACTTTCTTTAGAAAAATAATCTGCTGAGCATTCCAGTCTTTAAGACATTTAGATCAAAACAAACACACCACACCTATAGCAGGTCAGACATAGGTGCACATTTATTTCCTATCTAACCAAATTAACAAAGCCATCTAAGAGATTCTGAACATTATCAAAATTTTATATCTGTAAATCTTCTATAGTTATCAGCTGAGACTTGTTTGGTGGTGCCTGTAAAGACAAATATTTAAAAACCCAGAGGAATGAGAAAAAACTTAATTAGGTTGCTTTGGCGAGTAGATTCAAGCTTGAGGAGTTACTTATTAAGTGCTTCATATGTCAGAAGCTACCAACAAAACTGCAAGTGTGGTTGTGGAAAGTCAGCATCCAGAAGAGGAAAGGCAGGGGAAGAGAGGTCTAGTACAACACTGTATTTTGTCTACCATGACTACCCTGGGTTTCAGCTTATGGAGCTGCAGTTGACAAAAAAAAAAAAGCACCTGAATTACTCACAGATTGTGTATTGAAACAACGATACAAAAAAAGGGATGTGAATTTCTAGTAAAAGTATCTGATAGGTACTGTCACTATCATCACTTCAGCTGTACCCATATAAAGGCATTGTTAACACAAGTTGGACAGTGTGGAGAGAGGCAGAATGCAAAAGAAGAAATGCAACTGACAGATACAATCTGGCTCGCAAAAAACCTCCAAAACCAAACACCCCTGCCATCCCTCAAACTGGAACATCTGAATTGGATTTAACTGACTTGATGTCAGTGAAAAAATTTGCTTATTTGCTCAGCCACTTATGTCCTGGGGATATGTGTGAGGAGACCAGCATTTTTTAACCATATACGCCTGATCTGGCATGGTCCTCATCATCCAGCGTGAACTGCAACGAAACTGAGCTGCACAGGGAGGCAGCCTGGGAACCTTGTTTTGACTTGTGAAATGAGGAAACTGTGACATTAACAACATTGAGAAGGATTAAACAGAGAAAAAAAAAAAAGAGGTTATTTACAAACTGTAACTGCATTTCAAGAATGTTCATGAACAGACGGGATTAGAAAAACACCAAACCTCCGCCCTTCCAATATTTCCGGTAGGGTGGGCTGTTGCTAATCTTTCCTGAACCTCTTATTGTGTTTTAACATCAGTCTCTTATCCTTATCTTAGAGTGACTCAAAAAAGCAGGCCCTCAGAGGAAAACTTCAATACTTTTCTTTTTTTTTTTTTTTTAATCAATGTGTCACTGTTTGGCCAAAGCTGGCTAGATGAAGTCCAAATTATTTTTTCAGCTAGTTAGCTGTTTGATCAGGTTTAGCTTTCAGCTCTGTGTGTCATTTCCTGCGCTCCCAGGCGGCTCAGACCTAGATCTGCAGCCAGCTGTTGGCAACAGTCAGGCTCTTGTAAACAAGTCGCTTTCAGGTTGATCAGCTCTGTGCCATGAGAGCCAGGGGGAGGAGGGTGTACAGCAATATGCGAGCAAACAGCGGGTAGAGCAGCATGAAGAACTAGAGATGAACTATCATGGTTGAGGCTTAAGATGACCACAGATCTAGGTTCTACTCATGGCTCTGCAACTTCTACCTCAACCAACTGTAAGTCCAGCCCAAGTAACTTGCTTATCAAGAAGGTCTACAGGAATTAAGCCATTTATCTCCCATAGGAGATCAAGTGTTCAATTCCTATTGAAAATTATTGTCTTGCGGTCCTTTGAAAATGACAAGATTAGTTTTTCTGCATCAGTTGCTCTTGGAGGAAGTATTAACAGCACTTTCTTTCCTCATAGCTGTAAATCAGCTCTTGTGAGATGATCTTGTATCCCTGTGATTACTGCTAACAAGAAAACTTTATGGAGGACAGCAAAAGTGGTATTTAACACCAGGTTTCCTCCAGCTTCCTCTCTAACTGATGTTCAGATTTCTTTAATTTCCAGCATAAAGAGAACTACACCTCTTTCTACATCAGCACAGAAAATACAGCAGAAAGACACCGTGTTCCAGCAGGTTTCAATCATACTTTTGGTGATAGAGTTGAAAACTTCAGTCCTACACTGGCAGGCAGAGTTTTTAAACAGCAGATGAATGAATGCCACTGGGGAGCTAATAGAGACTAACACAGCAGCACACAGTTCTCCTGGCGCAGCAGATCTCTGATGAAGAAGAGGTTAGCGATAAAAAGGGAA